GGGGGAAAAAGCCACAAAGGTTTGAAACAAGATGGGAAAAAAGGAATTTTTTTTAGGGACAAAGGGTAATGTATAATTTCTTTAAAAAAGAAGATTCATAAAAAGAAGGTACATAAGATGGTATTGTAGTATTTGCATTAGAAATAGAAAACTAGAATGTTATAAGAATTAATAAAAGATTAAAATATTGAAATGTTTAGTAATGATAGATTTTAAAATTTAATAAAATATTAAAGGGAATGTTTAGAATATTGAGTTTAATTAAAGAGTTTAACTGACTATGGTGTTGATGTTATTATAAACTTATTATTGTAGCATTTGTTGTTGAAATAGATAATTGGAATGTTACAAGATTCAATATTTAGATTTATTATCTAATTATGTATTTAATCATTTTGGATTTATTATTTTTTTTTCTTTTTAAAAGTTAGTAGGTAGAATGTACTAAGCAGAATCAGATTGGGTACTAGGCGTTATCTTAAATGTTAATTTAGGGGGACGATAGAAAGGCATCATACTCTGATTAGTGATTTCAGGAGAAATCCCCCCTTTTTTTTACTATAGGGAATAAGATAAATGGATAATTTGGAAAGAATGGACAAAAGATACAAATACAATGATTTAAATTAAAATGAACTAAATAAAATAGAATTAAGAAGAGTGAAATGTGGGGAGAAGCTATATAGAAGATATAGAATGGTAAATAAGATAGGTAATGGTATATAAGATGAGCATGAATTTAATTGAAGTCCATATAGAGAGAGGTAATCTGGGGCCAAGTTACTTTCTTAAAAGAAGTTTTATGTTTTTGTGTTTTGTGTGTTTATGTATGTGGGAGAATTAATAAAACCTTGGAGGAATGTTGGATGAGAATAACGGTAATCAAGTCAGAGAGAAATGAAGATGATAACTATAAATTGGATAAATATAGGGAAAAATAATAATAATAATGAAATTGAATAAGAGTGAAGAGAAATAAGGAGAAATTTGATAAGAGATATTTATATGTCCATATGGAAATGGTGTAAAATAGAATTATGTTGTATAAAATAATGTTTTATTCAACTTGTAAAATTTATAATGGAAAGAGGTTTTATGTATTCAATGGTTAATGATGGTTTGTTTGTCTTTAAAATTAATAAAATTTGTTTTTTTTTTTTTTAAAAAGCAATTCAAAGACTCGGGGCTGAAAGTCAAAAAAGAAAAATGTCAGCTGTGCACCGAGAAAGTCAAATTCCTAGGGTACCTCCTGGACCAGCACAGAATCCACCCCACGGAAAAAAAATTAGGGCCATCAAAGAAGCCCCCAGACCAAATAATAAAACCGAACTGCAGGCATTTCTCGGGCTGATTAACTTCTATAATGTTTTCCTGCCCCAAAAGGCGACTGCAGCGGAGCCTCTGCATAGGCTACTCGACAAAACAGCCACTTGGAACTGGGGAAAGCGAGAGGAAAACGCATTCAACCGGACAAAAGACCTACTCACATCAGATGCTGTTCTCATTCAATACAGCGAGACCCTACCACTAGCGGTCACATGCGACGCATCACCTTTCGGCGTCGGAGCCGTCCTCAGCCACATTCTCCCGGACGGAAAAGAGGCACCCATCGCCTTCTTTTCAAGAACCCTCTCAAAACCAGAAAGAAATTACAGCCAGCTGGATAAGGAGGCCCTGGCAATCGTCGCCGCCGTAAAGAGGTTCCACGAGTACCTCTATGGCAGGACCTTTACCATCATCACCGACCACAAGCCACTGCTGGGAATCCTGGCAGGGAACAAGGCCACCCCGAACATTCTATCTCCAAGAATGACAAGGGGGTCCGAATTCCTTGCCACCTACAGTTACCAGTTAACCCACCGACCCGGTAAGACAATTGCCCATGCAGACGCCTTGAGCCGCACGCCGCTGCCCGACCTGGACGCCGACCCAGCACCCACAACATCCACCCTGAGCATAGAGGCTCTAACCAATCTCCCCGTAACCGCATCAGACATTGCCCGCGAAACCAATAAAGACAAACGTCTGGTGCGGGTTTTACATTGGGTAGAGAAAGGGTGGCCGGAAAAAGATGACAATGAACAATTCAGGACATTTCGGAACCGGCAAACAGAACTTTCTATACAAAAGGGTTGTTTACTATGGGGGGATAGGGTTGTCATCCCGGAAAATTTACAAGAAAGGGTCTTGGAATTATTGCATGAGGGGCACCCGGGCATCGTTAGGACTAAAGCCCTGGCCAGGAGTTACGCATGGTGGCCAGGGATGGACAGACAAATCGAGGCTTGGGTGGCAACGTGCAGACAATGCCAAGCATCCAGGCCAAGCCCACCCACCGCCCCAATCCTGGAATGGGAGACCCCCAGGGGGCCATGGTCCAGGATTCATATAGACTTCACCGGACCTACGAAGGGACACACCTTCCTTGTTACGGTAGACGCTTACTCCAACTGGCTGGAGGTAAGCGACATGAGAACCACCACCACGGAGGCCGTCACCAAAGAACTCAGCAGACTATTCTCAACCCACGGCCTCCCAGATGTCATTGTATCAGATAATGGGCCCCAATTTACCTCGCTGGAATTCGAAAAATTCCTAGCGGAACGGGAAATACAGCATGCGCTGACAGTGCCAGCACATCCGGCGGCGACTGGGAGGGTGGAACGAATGGTCCAATTTACAGAAAAAACAGTCCAAAAAATGGAAACCGGGGAAATACAAGAAAAGATAAATAAAATGCTACTCATACAACACATAACCCCAAACACGACAACCAACAAAAGCCCGGCAGAACTATTAATGGGGAGGAAATTAAGGTCCCCACTTGAGAGGCTGCACCCCACATACAACCCAGAAAAAACCCCCAACTCATCTAGCAAACACCGAACATTCGCACCGGGC